TAAAACCCATAACCCCGCCACCCCCTCCCCGCAGGTGTAGGTCTGACCCCAGGTCCCACGTTGCTGCAGTCTCGGTGGGAAGCGCAGCTCCCCGGTCAGTGTCTGGGCTGAGCTGGGTTGTTCCCCGCCCTGGTCCCAGCCCCCGGTGGGGAGGGGCGTGGGGCTGGGGGAGCTCGCACTCACCGCTCACAGACACGACGGTGCCATTGCCGGATCTGATCTCCTCATCGGCTCCCGACCCCTTCACAAACTTCACACAGTGATAGATCCCCGCGTCCTCGGGGCGGGTGTCACTGATGTGGATGGTGTAGTCTGTGTAAGAGCCACTCACAGCCCGCGTCACCCGGGGGAATGATCCCACGTCTGCATAAACGAGCTGGCGGCCACTGCCCGAGCCCTTGAACCACTTTGTGGGTCCCACTGGAATGAACCCAGTCTGAGAGCAGATCAGAGTGAGAGTCTCTCCCGGTGACACCCACACGGCGCCCTGGGGCTGCAGCAGCTGGAACTCCTGGGCCCCGGCCCCTGGAAGGAGAGAACAGGCCGGGCTGGGGGAGGCTGGTTGACAAGCCCCAGTCCCGTAGCAGCAGGGGGTTCAGTCCCACGCCCGGCACCGCTGTGTGGATCCTGCTCCCAGCCCTGCCTGTTAGGGGGCTTATTCCTTCACCCGCTCACTTCCCTGGTCCTTCTCGCATGAACTGAGAGCAACAAATACCCGAAGTCCGAAGGCGTAAACAATTGGATGTTTATTGGGGTGAACTTCCAGCCAGCAGGATTCCAGTTTCCTTCTCAGTGTCCCCCTTCCCAGCTCTGACACCACAGAGCCGTTCCTGTTCCCATTCCCTGTTCCCATTCCCCCCTTAGCAAAACATGACTCCAATTTCCCCACCCACATTCCCTGTTCCCATTGGCCCCTCCCCCTTACTTCCTGATTGACTGCAGACTATATAGTAAAACTTGAGTTCAGCTTAGCTATCTCTTAACCAATCATTTTATTGAAATTTAACTAACCAATCCTGACACATTGTAACATGGTTATTTAACCAATTATGTCCCACCACCTTAATTGGTTTACACCCAACAAAATTAATTATACAGCAGACAGAAACCATCACAGAACCAGACAGAGACCATGCAAATAAACATACAAAACAATACAGAAGTGAGGATTTCACAACTACATCTATACAGACAGAAGGGTTTTCCAGCTGTGTCTATTGATAAGTGAGTTCTTACCAGACAGGATGCTATCAAACTAAGTGTCCTTTGACCTCTTCTAGGCTCTTCCCTTTCTCCGGAGGTGATGGGAATATCAGGACAGGATTGTATTCTAACAGCCCAATAGCACCTTATTTCAGTGTGACTGGTTTGAAATGTGAGGATGTGACCGTTCACTTCTCAAAGGCCTTACTTAGCCTAAGAACAGAGCCTCAGACTGTCACAGTACGAGAAGGCCCTTACACAGACAGACAGTGATTTTGTTTCTCTCTTTTATACCTCTATAAGTAGCTAAGTGATAAGAAGACACCTAAATTCTTAAAGTATAGGCCTTTACAGACAGGCCTGAATATCTATATCCTAACACTGCCTAGAGCTGGGCCCTGCCCAGGGTGGGGCTTTAGCTGCCCGGGGAGTAACTTTGTGTCGTTCCACAGCGACCCCTGCAGGCTGCCCCGGAGCCGCGTTTCCAGAGCTCCGCCCCGGCTCCCGGGAGCAGGCAGGGACCAGGGAGCTGTTGTGCTGAGCGTGAGCAGAGGAGCCGGGGCAGGGACAGAACCTCATGGGCACAAGCAGGGACAAGGCCCTGAGCCCAGCTGCTGCGCTGCTCCAGCCACAGAGAAGGAGCTTCTGGGTGTGTCACTTACTGCCAATGAACAGAGGGTTATTTTGCCCCTTGATGGCCCCACACAGACATGGCACCCAATGATGTCTGAAAGCAACACGATTTAAAGGAATAAAAAGAAATACTTTTAACCCACATCTAACTAAGCTGTGGAATTCACTGCTGCAGGATATTGTTGAATCTAATTGCTCAGTAAGATTTCTACAAAAAGATCAGACGTTTATAAAAAGAAGATCAGCCCCTGCTGTGACACCAGCTGGGATCAAGTTTTAAACACTGTTACCGGTTCTCACACTCCAGAGCATAAGCTGATCACAAGCTAGGGTCAAGAATATAAAATACACAAGGGTTTATTCCTCCCTTTAGAGCAGGGGTAGGCAACCTATGGCATGCGTGTCGAAGGCGGCACGCGAGCTGATTTTCTGTGGCACTCACACTGCCCGGGTCCTGGCCACCGGTCCGGGGGCTCTGCATTTTAATTTAATTTTAAATGAAGCTTCTTAAACATTTAAAAACCCTATTTACTTTACATACAACAATAGTTTAGTTCTATATTATTGACTTAGAGAAAGAGACCTTCTAAAAACGTTAAATGTATGACTGGCACGCGAAACCTTAAATTAGAGTGACTAAATGAAGACTTGGCACACCACTTCTGAAAGGTTGCCGACCCCTGGTCTATGTTCTTCTACACTCACCAGGGATTTCCAGGAGAAGCAGCAGCACCAGGCATGGAAGAGACAATCCAGACACAGGGGTCGACGGAGCCATTTTGTTGTCAGAGGGGCGACCTTTCAACACCACTGCCTTTGCCAGTTCTCCGTTGTCCGAAGAGATATTGAGAAGTTTGAGGTTCAGGATCAGACCTTCCCCTAATGCAGAAGGAAGTGGATTGCTGAAGTTACATTTCCCTATTCCACCACAGACTCACCTGTTTTTTCTGCACCATTAATTTTACTTCTCACAGCGAAGCGGCTGGTGACCCGTGTTCTCTCGTGAAGCCTCACGTAATCCAGCCTTCGACAGCCATGAGCTGAAGCACCCAGGCTAACGCTGCTGGGGTATTGAAGGGTGGAGAGAGGGGTCCTGGCAGAGCTGCTCTTTGGGAGGGGAATTCCCTGACAGTGTTGAAATCTCCCTCCCAAACACCAAACCAGAGCATTTACCAGCCACTGCACGTTCAGAAACACTGTCCACAGAGACGTCTGAAAGCTGGGCCCGTAGACCTCTGTTCTGGAGCTAGTCCCTGGCAGTGACTGCTACCAGAGAGGCTCCTTCAACACACACCTCAGTGGGGAGACAGCATGTGGCCACTCCCAGCACCTGATCTGTTAATTAGAGATGGGCTGGGCAGGGAGAGGGTGGATCTGGATTAGGTCTAGGCTGGAGTTTGGCTTAGTTTGGATCCAGTTTGGATGAGAGGAGAAAGAAGGTCTGTGCTAAAAGCACTGGACTGGGATCCAGGAGATGTTTAATTATCTGTGACCTTGGGGAAGTCGCTGAGTCCTTCAGGGCCTCCGTTCCTATCTTGAAATTGTCCTTTTTCTCACTTGGATAGTTAGAGAGTAAATTGTTTAGGGCAGGGAATTGTCTCTTACACTGTGTTTGTACAGCACCTAGCACCATGGGGCCTAGATCTCAGCACTGTGCTCTAGACTGTAAAAATAATCCTGATGATAATAAATAAATGGAGGCAGGTATTAAACCATGTCCCCCTTCAAATCTTTCCGTGGGTTAGGATTTGAGAGTCTCTTTTTGTTTTTGTCCCATTTCTAGTCTTAAAGCTCCATCAACCTCTGCTCCTCTGTGTTTCCATCTGTGCTTCTGGCGTCCAGTTTGCACAGGTCCTGGTTCTGAGCGGCTTGACCAGTTACGTCTGCCATGGAACATTCCAGCGAGTTCCCAGCAGTCAGGTGACGGGTCTCTGAAGTGGAATCGCGAAGGGTGTGACACAAGAGCTTTAGGTTTTTTTCAAAAATTGACTCCTCAGTCCCCGCCCTTCAGCCATGAACATCCACCCCACATCCGGCCCCAGACTCTGCACAGCCCGCCTGGGACTTGCCAAGAGAAACAGCCCCAATGGGCCTGATCGAAACCTCCTGACGTAAACTCCTATGGGGGGCCCAGGGAATTGCCTCTTAATTCTTCTGTCGGGGGCAGAGGAAAGAGTGGCCTTTGCCCCCCATAGAAGCAGCAGTGGGTCTGGCCCCAGCTATTGTGGAGCTCGCAGTATCCACCAGAAGCCAGGGCCAGCAGCCGGAAAGCTCTGGGGCCCTCCGCAGCTCTCTTCAGCTCCCTGGCAGGGTGACTCAACTGGCCCCCCACTGCCAGGCCTCCCTCTGCCAATAGCTGCCCCTGGGTGCCACAAAAGGGAAGCAGGTTGTGTTGTACGTTGTGGATCTCTGGAGAAGATGCCCGTGGGTCAATGGGCTACAATGCCCAACCCAAAGCAGTCCCAGAGCAGAGTCTGCTGGCAGGAAACACCTTGGGCCCAGCTTTTAGGTGGCTTCAACTTATCTCCAGAAATTGCACATGCCCATTTGTCGCCCACCCCCTCTGGACATGGAGTTCCCCCAGTCTGGCACATGAACTAGGTTTGGTGGTGCTCAGCTCCCCCCTGCTTGTGCCAAGGCCCCCTGGTCCCTGCTGACTGTACACTCACCACCTGGGAGGCCGAGCCAGGAGAGCCGACCCTGGCATGTGTTGTACTTAAAGTACTGCACAGGATCTTTTCAGGGGGAATAAGGCAAAACGCCACATTTATTAGTAAT